AGGCAAATTCCCAAATACAAAATCCATGAATAAAGATAAGTATACCTTCCTTTGGCATTTTAAGTACCTTAGGTTCCTTCATTATCTGAAGGAGGGCAGCATATGAAACTTATTTAGACCTCTTTTTTAAAATTTAATTTATTTGAGACAGTCTCTTGTTCAGGCTGGAATATAGTGGTGCAATCTTGGTCCCCTGCAACCTCTGCCTCCCAGGCTCAAGCAATTCTTAATGCCTCAGCCACCCAAGTAGCTGATACTGCAGGTGTGTGCCAACACGCCCTGTGAATTTTTCTATTTTTAGTAGAGATGGGGTTTTGCCATGTTGGCCAGGCTGGTCTCGAACCGCTTGGCCGGGTGATCCGCCTGCTTCAGTGTCCCAAAGTGCTGGGATTACGAGTGTGAGCCATCACGCCTGGCCTAGAACTCATAGAGAATGAAGAATGTGTTTTTATTTTCTTTTTTGCATATCCAAGACATTGCGTTCAAGTTTCTGAATCTGCCTATTAGGTTGGTGCAAAAGTAATTGCAGTTTTTGCCATTAAAAATTTAAAATGGCATAAACTGTAATTAGTTTTGCGCCAACCTAATATTTAGGAAAATGGAATGAGAATTCCACAAGGGTGGGGATTTCTGTCTTTTTCATTCTGCAGTCTATGGTCAGCAGCTAGAACAGCGGTGCACACACAGTGGGTGCTCAAACAATCGATATTTGTTGAGTGAATCAAGGAATGAAAATCACATTCAAGCCAATACACATGATGAAACTACCGTTGTATCATTGGGCTACGATGGTTGTTACAATTCCACAAACTGTATAACGGGACACACCTGAAGGTGGTAAATCCCACCATTCATAGCTCTTTGGGAAGTTCTGGGGCTAGGAAATCCGAATTCAATGATGGGATTTTCTCAACTGAACTCAGGACAGAGCATAGATGGTCTGAGTGAACACCCTGCATGACTGGTGCCTTCCTGTAGGTAGGAAGATTTCCTCTGCTGTCACAGGGAGAAGAAACCATGAGTAGCTGGATGCAATTTCAGATCTTCATTGAGAAAGATGCTGATTTCACTGGGGCTGTGGCAGTGCCAGGTGGAGGCTGGCTGGGTCATAATTGACATCTCCCTGTCTCTGCTCTCAGACATGGAGTTGATTATGCCTTTTAAATAATTTATGAATTCCATCTGGGTCTCCTCAGCGTCATCTTCCAGGTTCAAGTGCACCAGCTTCAGTTTGTTCAGGGGTGGTGCTTGAAAATGAAAACCAGATTAATTAGGCAAGCAGTTTCAATGAGGGGTCCTTTCAGGTCCCAGTAAAACTTCTACAAGAAATTTGTTTAACTTTTGAAGTTCACAAATCAAGTTTTCTTCCTTGACACCAGTGAACAAGGAAAGGGTTTGCTACACTGCCACCTAGTGACAGGATGAAAACTTTACAAACAACTTTCCAGGTCCTCTGTTCTTAAACCAGAAAGGAATAGATTCTCTTATGTCGTTTTGCTTCTCAATATTTTCGGAGTTGTTTTTCAAGATTACTGTGTCACCTCTGGGATATGTGTGTCATATGTGAATTGGAGGTTTTTCTCCAGACAAGTTTTTTCAGGAAAGAGTACCCCCCCTCACAAAGCTGTACCCAAGAATAGCTACAAGCAGGATTTTCCCACTCTGTAGTCTGCTTTTTTTTTTTTTAGACAGTTTCACACTTGTTGCCCAGGCTGGAGTGCAGCCTCCACCTCCCGGGTACAAGTGATTCTCCTGACCCCAAGTGATCTGCCTACCTCAGCCTCCTAAAGTGTTGGGATAATAGCCTTTTTTTTTTTTTTTTTTTAAGATGGTGTCTCGTCCTGTCACCCAGGCTGGAGTGTAGTGGTGAGATCTCGGCTTACTGCAGTCTCTGCTTCCCGGATTCAATCAATTCTCCTGCCTTAGTCTCCCGAGTAGCTGGGACTACAGGCACCTGCCGTATCTTTGTAGAGACAAGGTTTCACCATGTTGGCCAGGCTGGTCTCTAACTCCTGACCTCAGGTGATCCACCTGCCTCAGTCTCCTAAAATGCTGTGATTACAGGCATGAGCCACTGCCCCCAGCCAAATCTGGCAATTCTGACTCACATGGAGAGGGCAATAATTGCCTAGGGCATAGTAGGTGCTGGGTAACTGGACAAAGCTGCTGGTTTCTAGGGCATGGGGCAATATGTAGGTGTCCAAAATGCTCAAGACAAAAGAGGAAGAGAAATTGCAGTTTCCTTACACAAAGACAGGCTTCCTTTAACATCTCCAGATCCTGGTTTGTGGTGTGCAATTAGCATACACTGTGTGTCCCATAAGGACTGCTGCTGGACTAAGCAGGAGTACCACATTTCCATTTCCTTCCGGTGGCTTGGGATGTCAGCACTGAAGACAATCACCACCTCATGAGCATCCTTCATCAGGGCTGGCCAGCAGGACTTGAACCTGCAAGGAAGAAAAGGAACAAGAGGGAATGTTAGATTGTTCTGGTGACTAACTGTGGAATTTATAAAGACTATCTTAGTATTAAAAGTTGGTCGATGACTTCCTTTTTTTTTTTAAAGAGACAGGGTCTTGCTCTGTCTCCCAGGCTGAAGTGCAGCTGTGGGATCATAGCTTACTGCAGCCTCCAATGTGGGTTCAAGTGTTGCTTTTGCCTCAGACTCCTGAGTAGCTAGGACTACAGGTGTGCACCACATCAGGTCGATTTTATGTTTTGTAAAAGTTGATTTCATTTTTTAAAAATATTTTAGTTTTTGAGATAGACTCTGGCCCTGTGACCCAGGCTGGAGTGCAGTAGCACAATCTTGGCTCACTGCAGCCTCCGCCTCCTGGGTTCAAGTGATTCTCCTGCCTCAGCCTCCTGAGTAGCTGGGATTATAGGTGCACACCACCACATTGGGTTAATTTTTGTATTTTTAGTAGAGACAGGGTTTTGCCACGTTGGCCAGACTAGTCAACTACCTCGTCTCGTCCACCCTGCCTCTTCCTCCCAAAGTACTAAATTACAGGGGTGAGGGCACCTGACCTCTATTTTTTTTTTTTTTAAAGACAAGGTTTCATCATGTTGGCCAGGCTGGTCTTGAACTCCTGACTTTAGGTGATCTGCCTACCTCGGCTTCCCAAAGTGCTGGGATTATAGGCATGAGCCACCACACCTGGCCAAGGTTGATGACTTCTAACTGCATCATAACCTGATCACTAAAGTGTGTAAACCAGTGCATGTCAGCAGATAACTTATCAGCCTCCTCACATGTGCCAGGAAACATGCTAGGCCCAACGCCATGGTGCCTGGTGGGCAGCTGAGTTGTTTTTATTTTTATTTTTCTGAGACAGCCTTACTCTGCTGCCCAGGCTGGAGTGCAATGGCGCAGTCTCAGCTCACTGCAGTCTCCACCTCCACGGTTCAGGCAAGTCTCCTGCTTCAGCCTCCCAGGTAGCTGGGATGACAGGCACTTGCCACCACACCTGGCTAATTTTTTGTATTTTTAGTAGAGACGGGGTTTCACCACATTGGCCGGGCTGGTCTCGATCTCTTGACCTCTGGTGATCCACCTGTGTCAGCCTCCCAAAGTGTTGGGATTACAGGCATGAGCCACCACACCTGGCTTAGGTAGCTGATTTTTAAGCCATTAAAAATCCTTTCTTTAAAGGAAATATGCTTAGCATCGCCACCACAGTCCCATAGCTCAGATTTACAGCCCGTGCCTTTGTTGTTGCTGGTAACATGTAGGCTCTCAAATTCCAGGATCCTAAAAGGAAAAGAAGAGCAGTAGGCTAGGTGTGGTGGCTCACAGATGTAATGTCAGCACCTGGGAGGCCAAGGCGGGCAGATCACTTGAGGTCAGGAGTTCGAGGCCAGCCTGGCAAACATGCCTGTAATCCCAGCTACTTGGGAGGCTGAGGCAGGAGAATCAGGTAAACCCAGGAGGCAGAGGTTGCAGTGAACCGAGATCACGGCACTGTACTCCAGGCTGGTGACTCTGTCTCAAAAAAATAAAAAAGAGCAGCAGCACCAATAATGAGGCTACAGTACACTTTTGGAATGGGGACAGCAACAAAAGTAGGAGGTGGGTGATGGTTAGGCAGTCTTTTAAAAAAATTTTTTTTTGAGAAAGGGTCTCACTCTGTCACCCAGGCTGGAGTGCAGTGGCATAATCATAGCTCACTGCAGCCTCCAACTCCTGGCCTCAAGTGATCCTCCTGCTTCAGCATCCCGTGTAGCTGAGACTACAGACACATGCCAACAGACTTGACTAATGTTTTATTTTAGTTGAGGTGGGGTCTCCCTATATTGCCCAGGGCTCAAATGATCTTCCTGCTTTGGCCTCCCAGAGCACTGGGATTAGAGGCATGAGCCTCCTGCTCAGCCGGTTGGGCACTGTCTGGGACACAGATTTGTCAGGGCTCACCTCACCCCTTCGATTGGGCTGTATTCAGTGATGTAGAAGATTCTGTCAGAAAGGGCTAAAACAGCTTTTCCACTCTGTGAAAATGAGAGCAAATAAAGGTCTTTGCTGAAAGGCAGAAATGGAAACCAAAAAAAGCACCCTGAGAGGTGTCCTGGAACCTGGCGTGATGCAGTATAGGTCGTGGGCACCATGAGATCACTGGGGTGGTTACGACCTCACTGTCTTGCTCTAGTTTGTAGAGACGGCGTTTCCCTACGTTGCCCAGGCTGATCTCGAATGCCTGAGCTCAAGTGATCGCCCCTCCTCAGCCTCCCAAAGTGCTGGCAGGTGTTAGCCACTAAGCCTGACCTAAGATTTCTGAAAGCTTTGTTTTGTTTTACTTTGAGATGGAGTTTCACTCTTGTTGCCCATGCTGGAGTGCAATGGCATGATCTTGGCTCACCGCAACCTCTGTCTCACAGGTTCAAGTGATTCTCCTGCCTCAGCCTCCAGAGTAACTGGGATTACAAGCACCTGCCACCATACCTGGCTAATTTTGTATTAATAGAGACAGGGTTTCTCCATGTTGGTCAGGTTGGTCTTGAACTCCCGACCTCAGGTGACCTAGGTGATCCATCCACCTCGGCCTCCCAAAGTGTTGGGATTACAGGAGTGAGCCACCGCACCCGGCCATCTCTATTTCTTTTAGAGACAGGATCTCACTCTGTTGCCCAAGCTGGAGTGCAGTGGTGTAATCTTGGCTCACTGCAGTCTCCAGCTTCTGGGCTCAAGCGATCCTCCTGCCTCAGCCTCCCAAGTATCTGGCACTACAGGCACATGCCACCACACCCAACCAATTAAAATTTTTTTTTTTTATTTCTAAGACTGGGTTTTGCTATGTTGCTCGGGTTGTTTTCGAACTCCTGGGCTGAAATGATCCTCCCGCCTCCACCTCCCAAAATCCTGGGACTGCAGGCGCACCCCAAGTCTCGGTAGGGACATGGAGGGTAAGACTCCAGGAGGGAATGGAATGGCTGTTCCCAAATCTTTGTTCCTCCCAATAATCCCAAGAGCTCAGACAGGCCACACAAGTGACAAGCTGGCCTTGGAACCAAGGCCTTGACCCCTTTATCACTGTGGCATAATGGCGTCCACTTGGGAGTCAATTTATCACAGCTATGGCCTGAAAGCTTAGAAATAGTCAGGAAAAAGCCTGGTTTCTGTAAAAGGGTTCACCACTCACTGTCATTTGTATGATCTAGGAGAAACCAAAGGGATGATGGCTGGAATGGTCTAGTCAGTGCAGATATCTAGAAACATTGCTGCTAAATTCAATCAGTTAGGTCAGTCTGAAAACACAGAGTCAAGTCAGAATTTCAGACAAGGCCATATTAAATGTCTGTGTGGAGAGTGCCGGCACAAAACATGCTAGCCCACAAAGGGGCTGGCCTGACAAAAACTCCTCAAGTCAACCCGCTATCAAATCTTTAACCTTTGGTAACATAGTTACATAGTCTTTGTATTGAAAAGAACTGCTCAGCCTATAATCCTAGCACTTTGGGAAGCTGAGGCAGGTGGTTCACTTGAGGTCAGGAGTTTGAGGTCAACCTGGTCAACATGAGGTCAGGAGGTTGAGATCAACCGTCTCTATTAAAAAAACAAAAATTAGGTAGGTGTAGTAGTGTGCACCTGTAATCCCAGCTACTCAGGAGGCTGAGGCAAGAGAATCACTTGAACCCGGGAGGCAGAGCCGAGATGTCAGCACTGCACTCCAGCTTGGGTGACAGAGCAAGACTGTCTCAAATTAAATAAATAAAAATAAATAACTGCTGAGTGAACAGTAAGGAAGGGTTCTCGATTTCAAGATGTCATTGTTGATTGATTACATTAATATCTTTTGTTTTTGTTTAGAGAAGATGTCTCACTCTATTGCCCAGGCTGGAGTGCAGTGGCATAATCTCAGCTCACTGCAACCTCAGCCTCCCAGATTCAAGTAATTTTCCTGCCTCAGCCTCCTGAGTAGCTGGGACCAGCCTGATCACAGTTGTGCCTGGCTAACTTTTGTTTTTTGTAGAGA